CTTTTACTTGTTGTTAACAAATGTTTAATCAACTCTATTCAAAGAAGTGATCTGTTTCGAAGTTAACGAAAAAGGGAGTATTTAAAAAAATAGGATCTCAGGATCTAACATTCAGTTTTTATTGTTAAAATCATAACTATCATTATCAGATCGACTGGACAATGTATGTAGAAGGTGAATCGAATGTTTCTTAAGAGATCTTTTTTTCGTATTTTTTGTGGTTACTACAACATTCGCTTACTGTAACTCTGTTTCTAACAACTTCTAAGTATCTTGAACAGTTAAGTGGACTGATTATATGTACTTCAATATATATATATATATCTTGAACAATTACGTGTGCTTATTCTTAGTGTACCTGAACAGAAACTGTTGAAAGTTAGATATGTTTAGGGTTGGTATATCTTGTTTAATTTCTGAAGTTTCGATTAATTTCGTTAGAAGAAAATCATTCAGAGTTTTTATGTATAGATGTAATTTCATAGTTTAGGTTGATGTCATCAAAAGGACGTTGTTCAGAGTTGTTATCTATAGACAAAATATCATAGTTTAGGTTGATGTCATCAAAAGGACGTTGTTCAGAGTTGTTATCTATAGACAAAATATCATAGTTTAGGTTGATGTCATCAAAAGGACGTTGTTCAGAGTTGTTATCTATAGACAAAATATCATAGTTTAGGTTAATGTCATCAAAAGGACGTTGTTCAGAGTTGTTATCCATAGACATAATGTCATAGTTTAGGTTAATGTCATCAAAAGGACATTGTTCAGAGTTGTTATCTATAGACTAAAGGCCAAAGTCTATGTTAACGCCATTGGAAGGACATTGTTCAGAGTTGTTATTTATAGACTAAATGCCAAAACCTATGTTAACGCCATTGGAAGGACAAATTTTAGGGCTAGTGTAGTTAGAGAATAATGATTAGGGTTTTTATCTATAGACGAAGTGGTAAAGCCTAGGTTAATGTCATCAAAAGGACATTGTTCAGAGTTGTTATCTATAGACTAAATGCCAAACCTATGTTAACGCCATTGGAAGGACATTGTTCAGAGTTGTTATTTATAGACTAAATGCCAAAACCTATGTTAACGCCATGGAATGACAAATTTTAGGGCTAGTGTAGTTAGAGAATAATGATTAGGGTTTTTATCTATAGACGAAGTGGTAAAGCCTAGGTTGATATCATTAGAAAGGCAATGTTTAGAGTTAATATCCCTTGGTTAAATATTCTTTAACCGGACATTAATAAGTTTCACACTTACAACGCTAAAATCTGGGATTCGAGTTTCCAAGGTGAACACAGCAGAAAGCCCAATGTGGTTTTATTTTAAAACAAACAAGTTTTTGGTTAAATGGAGAAGTCTATGTTAATACCTTTAGAACTACAGTGTTTATTGTTGGTATCTATAGATCAAATGGAGAAGTCTATGTTAATACTTAAGAACTACAGTGTTTATGGTTGGTATCTATAGATCAAATGGAGAAGTCTATGTTAATACATTTAGAACTACAGTGTTTATGGTTGGTATCTATAGATCAAATGGAGAAGTCTATGTTAATACATTTAGAACTACAGTGTTTATGGTTGGTATCTATAGATCAAATGCCAAAATCTAGGTCAATACCATTAGAACTAGAGTGTGTATCTGTTAGGGTTAGTATCATTTCTCCGTTTATCTTCCTAAGTCTGATAAACACATTCAAGTAAATACGATATTACCAAACATATCACTTATATCACTTATAGCAGTAAAAAAAGTTATCTAACTCTGAGGTTTGAAGGTGCTAACTGTATGTGTACTTCAAAATGACTTACCTGTTCAAGATACATGTTGAAATACACACACAGTTAGCACACTTACCTGTTCAAGATACATGTTGAAATACACATATAGTTAGCACACTTAACTGTTAAAGACACATGTTGAAGCTACTAACTATATGTGTTACTTAACTGTTAAAGACACATGTTGGAGCACACATATAGTTAGTATACTTAACTGTTAAAGACACATGTTGAAGCACACATATAGCTAGTACACTTAACTGTTAAAGACACATGTTGAAGCACACATATAGCTAGTATACTTACTTACCTGTTCAAGATACATGTTGAAATACACACACAGTTAGCACACTTACCTGTTCAAGATACATGTTGAAATACACATATAGTTAGCACACTTAACTGTTAAAGACACATGTTGAAGC